AGTTGTTACACACTCCTTAGATGTTTCCAACTTCCATGGCCACATCCTTGCTGTCTTCAGCGGGTCACACCTTTTATGGGATCTCATGAGTGTAGCTTAATGGCTACTTTTTCACCACTATTATCGGCAACTTTAACTTTGCTTTCGGTTCATCCCGCATCGCCAGTTCTGCTTACCAAAAATGGCCCACTTAGCGCCCAATATATTCAGTCAAATGCGGCATCAATTAAGTATGTCGCACATCTCACCCATTTAAAGTTTGAGAATAGGTTGAGAGCGTTTCGCTCCCAATTCCTCTAATCATTCGCTTTACCGGATGAAACTATTTTACAACGAACGCTAGCTATCCTGAGGGAAACTTCGGAGGGAACCAGCTACTAGATGGTTCGATTAGTCTTTCGCCCCTATACTCAGGTCTGACGATCGATTTGCACGTCAGAATCGCTACAATCCTCCACCAGAGTTTCCTCTGGCTTCAATTTGCCCAAGCATAGTTCACCATCTTTCGGGTACCAATCAGGCATCTCAATGCTCCGTCCAGAAAGTTATTACTAACATTTCTATACGAACAGGCACATGTTGCGCTTGCAGACTGTTTGCATCCAACAAGATCACATGATTTGATTTCTCTATGCCTTCATCTGGCCTATTCAAGACCGATCGACTCGATGCCTAATTAGACTCCTTGGTCCGTGTTTCAAGACGGGTCGTTCGGAAAGCCGACCTACTCACTGCCAATAAGATTGCACACCAACTCATGCACACAGCCTATCGTTCCATCACCAAACTACGCTAGGCCAAGTCAACACCCGATTAGATGGAAGCTATACTAGCACCAAGAGGTTGCCCCCATTGGTAGCTAGCAAGTCCAAATTCAAAGATGCCGAACTTAGACCTAACGGTTGATAATGTAGCTACATGCACGGCCAGAGGCTTTCTGTGTAACACTTCTTACGAAGTGATTTTCATTGTGCCGGTCAGTGTTTGGAGATAGTTCACCCACCATCAGTCCAGCAACACCAAACAACACGAGGCTGCCAGCGCTACTACTAACTGAAATGGACAAATATTTCGTAGCAAATGAATAAAGCTTTCACTAAACCCCCTACTACTGGTCCCATCTCCAATCGTCTAACCGGTTGCAGTGTACGCTTACAAAGTTGGCCAGATATGAGAATACACCCAGACGTTTCCATCTAAGCTGAACTCAACCCGAGGCTCAACAACGAAACGACTTCGTGGCTCCGATTCGTTTGCCAATTAACGGTTTCACGCCCTGTTAACTCTCTCTGCAAAGTACTATTTCAACTTTCCCTCACGGTACTTGTTTGCTATCGGTGTCGTAGCCGTATTGCATAGCCTTACGAGTAGTTTACCTCGCTCTTTAAGTTGCACTCTCAAGCAACTCGACTCTAACAAATTGGAACCTTTTTAGGGGCCCCTCCGCAATTCGTGATACCAATGCCTGCACGGTATGGGGCTTTCACCCGCTCTGGCTCAACCAAACATCCAAGTTGCCCCAAATGTTAGGTCATATGCAATTAGTCCAAGTCAATGGAACTTGCATGCTAGGCTAGGAGTAGACGACGCTTTTACACGCCGGCTACCAATGGTATAACTAAACATCACGGTTTGTAACGCTGCACCGTTCGCTGGTTTGTTAATGACGAGCCCCCGAAGGAACCCATCCCATCGAACCTAAGCGCTAGGCTTATTCCTGTTCACTCGCCGTTACTTGGGAAATCGCTTTTGCTTTCTTTTCCTCCGCTTAATAATATGCTTAAATTTAGCGGGTACTCTTGTCTGATATGAGGTCGATGATAAAAAAGTTGTTTAAAGTGCTAGATCTTAATACAGTGAAACACATAGCTCTGCTTTTTGATGCTCACCTGTTTTTACAACATCCTGTTGGACATTGTCGTTGTTGGACTGAGCAATTGGGCACCCACGTTAGTAAGCGTATATTTTCGCTTATGCGAGTAAGTCAGTAGACCAACATCGCCAGTTAAGCATCACAGAGTGTGTACCATACAAGGTAGCACAGGATTTGTGCAAGCACAAGTCCAACTATCATCATTAGTAGCCTCGCTGCTTTCAGTCGTCCTTAGAGTAGGAGTCCTTTCCGCAATCATAGGCCTTATAAGAGGTAACATCGTGCGACTATTGCCGAGTACCACAATACCTAGGCACAGAGATCTCTCTCAAGCCAGGATGGTTATAGTTCTAACCGACCCTCATACAGGCAAGGCTTTAGTTATCGCTAACCAAAGCCGCAATATGCGTTCGAATATCAGGCGCTCAGTTAATTCTGCAGTTCGCGCCGCCTATCGCAGTCTAGCTGCGTTCTTCATCGATCTACGACCCAAGTGATCCACCGTTAATTGTGAATGTTTTGTCTTATGATTATAAGTATATTATTGAAATTTTTGTTTAAGGTAGCATTTGGAGAACACTACATTTTTGTTCATGTATGATATGAGTTTGTTGTTGTATTGCAAAACACAACGGTGGCAAGTTAAGTATGCTAGCTCCAACGTAGACGCTGCCCTAACCGAGCACAAGCAGTTAGCGACATGACATTGTGCAGGATATGTGAGGCCCCACACAATATAGGAGGGACACCAGTTCAATTCACATACTGCGTGAGCTAGCGACCTAAGCACGCCGGAGACGAGCAACAGCTCGATCGAGGACCGTACCCCAATGGGGCACAATTCAGTGTCCAAACTATGCACTCTAGACTAGAAGAGAGATAGTTACGAGGTTACTCTAACTGATTTTACAGAACCACTAACCTGCGCGAGCACAGCCCTTTCGAGCATAGCTCCACAGGTCGTGTTATTGGATTTGGTGTTTTGAGGCTCGCCGCAGCACGGCTTACGCTCTAAACATACTTGTAATGATCCTTCCGCAGGTTCACCTACGGAAACCTTGTTACGACTTTTACTTCCTCTAGAAATTTGAGTTCGACAGACTTCCCCGCTAAGCCAAGAGAGTTGCCCCTCTAGATGCCCGGCAGGTCCAAATGCCTCACTAAAACTTCCAATCGGTAGTAGCGACGGGCGGTGTGTACAAAGGGCAGGGACGTAATCAACGCAATATGATGAATTGCGCTTACTGGGAATTCCTCGTTCATGGGCAACAATTGCAATCCCCAATCCCAAATCACGGCGTGTATTTATGATTGCCGTAATCTTTCGACTACGGTTTCTCTCGGCCTGCTAACTAAAGTCACTTTTCCGCCGACAAACACGAGACATTGCTGCCCCTTGCTCGCCAAACAGCCAGTTCTCTCTAGACAAACCTCGAACAAGCTTTCTGCACACGCCATTGTAGCACGCGTGCGGCCTAGAATATCTAAGGGCATCACAGACCTGTTATTGCCTCGTTTCTTACGGCTAAAACACCGTTTATCCCTCTAAGAAGTCCGCTGGCAAACAGAGGACATCTCACATAGGAAGCCTAGCAGCACGGTTGCCCGCACTAACTAAACGAGAGCCTACATGAGATTTTAGCGTCCCACAGCGCACCAAACGACTAGTTAGTTGGGTGAGGTCTCACTCGTTATCGCAATTAAGCAGACGTTTCGGAATACGAATCAAGAACGGCCATGCACCACCATCCTCTGAATCAAGAAAGAGCTATCAATCTGTCAATCATTCCAGAGTTCTAATCTAGTAAGTTTCCCCGTGTTGAGTCAAATTAAGCCGCAGGCTCCACTCCTGGTGGTGCCCTTCCGTCAATTCCTTTAAGTTTCAACTTTGCAATCATACTTCCCCCGGAACCCAAACACTTTGGTTTCCCTACGAGAGCCGCTGGGTGGATCATAATGATCGAAGTTTTTTACGCTTCGATTAAAGGAATCGCAACCCAATTGCTAGTTGGCAACGTTTATGGTTAGAACTAGGGCGGTATCTGATCGCCTTCGAACCTCTAACTTTCGTTCTTGATTAATGAAAATATCCTCGGCAAACGCTTTCGCTTCAGTTAGTCTTGCATCG